TGCCTGGTGTCTCCAGCCCCAAGCCCAGCAAGGGCCAGCCTGTGCGGAGCCACCAGGAGAGCTGGCTGACCGCCGCCACCGCTGCCTGGGGGCATCTGCCAGCAGGCAGCGCACCCTCCCCCACCCCGGACCCCAGCCCCTTCCACCCAGCAGCATTCAAACTGCAATGGAAGGTTAAGGGCTGTGTCTCCTGCAGCGAAATCCTGTGCCCATCTCAAGTGCCTGGGAGAGTGAGTCAGGCTGGTCATCCCAAGCCAAGCTCTCTGCCCCTCCCCAGATGGGTCAACTCCCCAAAAACAATCTGAACATGTTGAGGGTCCCCAAGGAGTCACCCCTGGGACTAGACCATGTCATCTCTGGGGTTTCTGGCAAAGGCTCTGGCAGTCTTCAAGGAGGGGCTGTCAGCAGTGGTGACAAGCAGGGGCTGGGGCTTCATTCCTTCCCTCCTGCCACCAGCATTCTTGAGGCCGCAGGGGGCCTGCTGACACTGAGCTGCTGGCCCGGAACCCCAACCTCCTTTCTGGAATTCTAGCCCTTCCGGTGGCAGGTTAGAAGTCAGGTCCTTCCTGGACCCCCACTGAAGCTGCCCATTGCTAACTCCACCGGGAAAGGAAGGCACAGAAACCAAAACTCGCCTGCAACACACTTTGTGCCGGCCCAAGACACCCGCCTCAAGCACGGGCTAGGGAATGGCCGCAGCTCAAAGGCGCTTCAGCTTCCTAGAGCAAGGCCCGGCATTTCTGCCCCGTCTCCCTGTCTCCGCCAGCAGCAGGGAAAAAAAGGATATTCATGGGCTTTTCACTGCTCCGGCCACAGGTCGGTGGAAACAGACAGTCAGTGGGCTCCACACGGCACTCTGAGTTCCAGGAGGGCACGTTGGGAAGTGGACACCCCTCACTGCAAACCAGACCCAGACAGGAGCTGGCCCGACCCTGCGGCCTCCCTGACTGCCCAGCACACACCACTCAGGAGTTCCGGCTTCCATTTCCTTTTTCCAGCTCCCAAAATGCAGATGAAGTGAGTATTTGTTTGAGTTTTGCTATGTAAATACAGCCCATTATTGGGGTCAGCAGCGGGAAGAGAAGAGCCCTCCGGACAAGCACTGGCAAAGGGAGAGGCGTGGGGGGGGGGGCAGGCACACCCCCTGAAAGGCCAGGATCTTCAAAAAGAATTAAGCATGCATTTCCCAATCTAAAGCTAATTTTCAATGCTTTCAAAGTAAACGTGACACAGTGAACCTCACAAGATGATTCACCACTTGTGATGTGGCTCCTGTGGGGACATTTGACAGAGTCTGGCAACAATTTCTTTTTGCTGTTGTCACACCAGCAGTGGGGGGTACCAATGGGTGGGGGCGGGGGCGCTGCTGAACATCCTGTAGTGCACAGGATAGCCCCCACCACAAAGAATGTTCCAGCTCAGAATATCTACAGAACCCAGGTTGGAAAAACCCTCACAATGTGACCAAGTTCTCGAAAGTGACACCACAGGGCTTCCAGACAAGAGCAGATGGCACCGCCGGAGGAGGGACATTTCTGGTCAGGATCTCAGGACCTTCCTGTGATTGCCAGATCTGTGGCCTCAGGGCACAGCATTTAACCTCCCTTGGCCTTAGCTTTTCATCTATAAAATTGGTCATTAAAACGTCTCCATCTGGGGCCTCCCAGGTGGCGCAGCGGTTGAGCGCTGGGTTGCGAAGCTGCCCGCCGTCTCTGCGGCGTCGGTTCGATCCCCGGCTGCTCCCCGGCCACCAGAGGAGGGTCCCACATGGCGCGCAGACCTCTCCTGCCGCCCGCTGCTCCCCTCAGCAGTGTGCTTCGGTCCTTCTGCCTGCTCTGCTCCCCGCTCTGGCTCTGGTGAATTCTCTCACCCTCCCACGCTTCTGACTGTACCCAGTGCTTGTATAAACAAACACAAACAAAAAAATAAAACAAAAAAAAAAAAAAAACATGTTTAAAAAAAAAATATATTTAAAAAAAAAAAAAAAAAAAAAACGTCTCCATCTGAAGATGGGGATAGAACCAATCTCGTTCTGGGCACCCCTTCCAGTTCTAAGATGTGCCTTCATTCTATAAAGAGTGTGTCCTTGGGCCTCCCTGATGGCACAAGGGGTTAAGTCTCAGTGCTATCAAGCTATTGCCAGCCACCGCAGCATGAATGAGTTCAATCCCCAACCAGTGAGCTGACCCACATGGCGCAGCAGACCTCACCTGTCTCGCCCGCTGCTCCCCTCAGCAGTGTATTTCAGTAGATCTGCCTGTTCTGTTCCCCATTCTGTCTCTGATGAATTCTCTCACCGCCCCCCCCCCTTTCTGGCTTAAACCCCAGCTCTGGTATGCATAAATAAATCTTTAAAAAAAAAAAAAGTGTGTTCTCTCTCACAAGCCACTCCCAAATCAGATTCTAGTGAACAGAAAATGAGTTGCAGAATATCCTGGGGTGCTAATATGTAAAGAGTTGATTACAAAAAAAAAAAAAACCACCAAAACCCTGCTAGCACAATTATTATTGAATGAGTCCTGCAGATATTTCAGTAACTACTGAGAAAGGAAAATTCAGAACTTGAATTAATCCAAATTCTGCTGGTGGAATGACCCCATGCCCCACCCCCAGTCTTCAGCTTCTTCCTACTCGTTAAGCAGTGGTCAGAGGGCACGGATTCCTGCATCCTCTGCTCGTAATGGTTCACTAGCAGCTGTTGGATGCCAGGCAGGTATAGCAGGTGACTTAATTCATAGGAAAAGACAGGTGAGGGCAGCCGACATCAGGCAACACACCGTGTGCTTAAAGAGTGCCTGTGAGTCTGCACAAGCACACCCCCGTGCACGCGCGCATACACCTGTGCACAGACATACACACTTGTGCACAGACATACACACCTATGCATGCACACACACCAGTGCACGGACACACACCTGTGCATGCGCACACACCTGTGCAGGGACATACACACCCATGCGCGCACACACCTGTGCATGCACACACACGTGCATGGAAATGCAGCCTGTGAGTCCCAAGTGGCCCTGGCCCTCCCCGTCCCAGCCAAAGAAAGCACAAGTTGTAGTCAACTCAGGGCATCCACGAGGACTAAGCACAGTTCAAGGGGGTACGGCCGAGCAGCTCAGAGACAAGGCACAGGCACTAGTCTCTGCCACAGCAGACTGTCCTTCAGGAGGTGTAATCTGAGCAGCTGCATGAGGGTAGCTGTAAGCACGTACACACACATGTACACACACACTCACTCATTCTGTACCAGCCTGGCCACCAAAACTTCTCCAACACACCCTCAGCAACTGCAGGGAGGGCCAAAAAAGCCAAATCAAGAGAGCAAACTGCCTCCCGTGGACACTTCTGGGTGTGTGGACAAGGGTGAACGTGCAGTTTCCTGTGAACACATGGAGTGTTTTAGAACTGAGGGCACCTGGAGGAAGGAGGATGTGTTCTGGGGTTCCTTTCTGCAACTTCTGGTAAAATAACAGCGTTTTAGCGTTCAAAGTGACTTCCAACTTTCTTACACTGGGTCAGGCCCAAAAGCAAGATTTCACCTTAAAGGATGTTTTACTTATTCCATCTGCTAAAAAAAAAAAAAAAAAAAAGTCTAAAACCTAGGCTGACGGTATGGCTTTTTTATTTTTAAAGAAACACATGAAATATTCACGGTCTGAGTAGTTATCTGATATTTTTTTAACTTGGACCATCAGAAATGCCTGGTAAGACCTTGACTGACAAGGCACAGGCTAACGCGCTTAAAGATGCACCTACGCGGGCAGGTGCTCTCCCTGGGCAAGGTGAGACCCTGGACCTTCTATCTTCTCAAACCATCCAACTGGGGGACACTGTCACAGTGACAGCCTCTTCTCCAGCTCCACATGACTCCAGCGCGCATGGAAACAAACCTCCCCTCTAGTTTTATAACTAGCAAAATGAGAGGCAAGCACAGAAGTATAGTGTCTCCTGGGCTATATGAATAATAAAGCCGCCCAGTTTCCCAAACCCACTACCAGCTGGGCAGGGCAGAGTCACATTACTCGTAGCTGCTGTGGGGGAACAGGGAAGCAGGGAGAACTAGTAAGTCACCTTCAAATGCTTGTGGTGGCCATGAATTCTTACATTTTAAAGGGAACTTTGTCCCGAGCAATGGCCCCGGCCCAACCCTTCCCAGAGAGACTGACCGATAGATCCTCTGACCAGAAGAAACAGGACAATTGGGTCGTTGTTTATTTTTACAGGTTCAGCTGGTAGACTTCAAAATGGATTTTGTGTTTTGAGAGAAGAGAATTCCTAATTGTAAAGCAGTCCCCCCGCCCAATACACAAGCAAAACACATTCTTTATGAGACATACTAATGATTTCCTACTATCGGCACCTAAATTCCACTTTTATCAAGGGCGCTGAGAAGTTTCTGCAGTTTTTTGTTTTGTTTTGTTTTGTTTTAAGCAGGTATCCAGAGCGCAGCAGATCCTGGGCTGGGAGCCGAAAGTCAGTAAATATTGATGGGCTGATGGGGATCAGAAGCCGGGCTGGCGGCAGCTCCTAGTCTGGCTTTCCCAGCGATAAGGGGTGCAGGTCCAAGGGATGCAGAAGCCGGACCCAGCGAGGCACTCGCCGGTGGGGTGGGGTTCCGTGCACCCCCCGCACACGGGAATGTTCGCCGACCTCTGCGCGGCGCCACAGGTGCAGGCGGTCGCCGGCGAGGCCCGGGTGACAGGGGACGCACCAGGCCCCTTCCCGGCGGGGGAGGAGAGGGGACCCGGAACAGGAGCCATTTAAACCCTGCGCGGAGCTGGGAGTCCGCGGGGCCGGGGGCGCGGCGGAGCGCCCGGGTGTCTCCGGGCCGCGCACCCACGCGTGTCTCCGGGCCCACGTCCCGCAGGTGCCCCGGGCGGACGCGCGCCGGGGGCCGGGGGCGCGATCGGGCCGCCCCCTCCCGCGCGCCCGGCCCGACGACCCCCCGCCCGAGACCGCCCCCGGCTGTCACCGCGCGGCCCCGGCCGCCCTACCTTGGTGATGACCAGCGGCTCGCCGTGCTCGCGGCCGCCCTTCAGGGTGAAGCCCCACGGGGCGCCGCCGCTCAGCTGCACCTCCACCAGGCGCCCGCCGTCGGCCGCCCGGCTCTCGGCCTCCGCCAGGCGCTCGGGCCGCGCGCGGGGCTCGGCGCCCTCCATGGCGCGGGGCGCGGGGCGCGGAGGCGGCGCGGCCGCTCAGCCCCCCGGGCCCGCCCGGCCCGCGCCCATGCACTCGGGAGGTGCGGCCCGCGGACGGCGAGGGGATCCGGCCGCCCGCGCCGCCGCCGGCCCCCGGCGAACTTGCGCCGCAACTTGGAGGAAAGTGCCGGCCGGGCTGGGCAGCGGCGCGCGGGCGGGCGGCGCGCGGGGAGGGGGCGGGCCGGACGGGGGCGGGCGGGAAGGGGCGGGGAGAGGCCGGGGGCGCGGGGCGGGGGCGGGGCGTGCGCCCGGCCTCGCGCGAGCGGCCCGGAGGGTGGGAGGGGCGCGGGGCGCGCGCGCGGCCGCGGGGGCCGGCGGGGCGGGTCCTCGGGCGGGCGCGCTCGGGGGCGTTCCCCCAGGTGGCCCGCGGGCGGGGGGCGGGGCCGGCGCGCGCTCGGGACCTGGCGCCGCGCTCGGGGGCCGGGGCCGGGGCGCGCGCTCGGGGCCCGCGTGGGGCAGCGCGCGAGCTCGGCCTGGACCGGCCCCGCGCGCCCGGAGAGTCGCGGGGCGCGCCCGGCTGTCGGCGGGGCGATGGGGGCGCTGCAGGTGAGGCGCCGGAAGCGCCCGCGCGAGCCGGCCCGGGCCGGGGCGCACCCGGCGGTCGTGCTGGAGCCCCTAGCGCCCTCCATCTTGGGGCGCGCGGCCGGCGCGGCGCCCCCGCCTTTGTTCGCGCGGACCGCGGGCTGCGGGCGGCCGCGCAGGTGAGGCCGGAAGCGCCGCGGGTCCCCCCCGCCCCCCGCGGGCTCGGGCCGGCTGGTCCGCGCGCCACCGGCCTGTGCCTGCGCGGCGCCCTGTCTCCAGCCCGGGGCACTGGGAGCCAGAGCCCGCGCTCACCCACACTGTCCCGGCCCTGGCCGCCGACCCTGGGCCTCCGGAGGGTGCTGGCAGAACCGGGCCTGGACAGGGGCGCGTGCCCTGTGTCCTGGAGGGACCGCCTGTGCCCCCGCAGTTCCCTCCGGCGGCGCCCAGCCCGGACCCGCGGGGCCTCTTGTTGGCACTTTGTATAGTTGCCGCCCAGAAAGTTGGGGCTCAAACCCCGTCCTCACTGGCGCATCACCGCGCCCCAAGGACCTAGGGTCCCCTACTTGCATGGGCCAGAGAGGGGCCGAGGGGGTTGGAAATGACTGCATGTCTGCGACTTTGAAAGGTGTGTCACCTGTTCTGCCTCTTATCAATGCCCATAAAACTCAAGAAAATCTGCACTGATGGGTATTTGCGTAATTTGCTAAACCAGTTTTGTTGTGTTTTTTTTTTCGTTTTCTAGCTACATAGCTGGACGCCGTTGAACACCTGTTTCCTCAGAGCAGCTCCATGCAGGTACTTCTAACAGGTGATGATGCCGCAGGAGGAGCCAGCACAACCTGAGGCAGCACTGGACAAAGCCCGCCTCGGGTCCCTGGGTCTGGGTTGCACCACTCGAGCTCGAAGTGGAATCTCAACTCTGGTTTCCTTCCTTCAGCGCTTAAGCGAGAGATTTAGTCTTTGCGTCTGTGGTTGGTCTTTGTGTCTCATGCAAGCAATTGAAACAAGAGTGCAAACTCCCCTGGGCACCTGCCATGGCTCTGGGTAGTGATTACTGGCCCATAAATAACTTCCAAGTCACAATGTCCTCAATATCTCTGGTTAGAGGAATGAAGCAAAGTGGAGATTCAAGCCACGTGCCTGCGAGAATGATGTCTGCAAGAATCAGCCTCCAGTATATCTTGCCCGAGATGGTCACATGATTCTGCAGATTAAATCACACAGCCAGCTGGGGGTGATGGGAATAAGACAGGTGGATTGTTAACTGTCCTAGTTGTGATACGGTGCTGGGTGTTACCTTTGGGATGGAAATGATGTGCCTGCATACTTTACAACTACACGTGAATCAATAATGATCTCCAAATAAAAAGTTTTCCTTAAAAGGTGGATGCAAAAGAGAAAAGACCATATAAATGCAGCTAGAATTTAGGAGGTCCCTGTATCCCAAAACTGCCCCCCACCCTAACCTCTAGCTGGTGTTGACTAAACATCTCAGTGCCCCCTGGGGCTGACACGCACGCCACTGGTTCCACTAAGGCAAGGGCAGTGATTTCCTTGCAGCCCAAGTCTCCTTAACATTTCTTGTCCCGTGTGTAATCACTGTCAGCTGACGGTGACAGTGCGGCGGAAAGGGGTATGCCGCCCCTGCCTCAGACAGAGGTAGAGGTTGACATTCATCCCTACTGGACATCTTTGTGCTGACTTTTGTTTGTTTTGTTTTTAATCTTCACATTAGGCATCCCTCCCGCTTAGCTCACTTGTTTATGGTGCTGTTAAAAAACATGCAGAGGGGCCTCCCCCGTGGCCTGGCACAAGGGTTAAAGTCTCAGTGCTATCAAGCTATCGCCAGCCAGCGCGAGTTTGATTCCCGGCTAGGGAGCTGACCTTTTCTGTCTCCCCGCTGCTCCCCTCAGCAGTGGGTTTCAGTAGATCCACCTGTTCTGCTCCCCACTCTGTCTCTAGTGAGTCCTCTCACCCCCTCCCCCACCGCACCCCAGTTCTTGAATGCATAAATAAATCTTTAAAACGTAATAATAAATACATGTAACCAGACACCTAACTTTTCAAATCAGGAACACTTAAATAAGAGGGAGTTCTGAGCCGCTGCAGAAGTCTTCGTGTCTGCAAACACTCTGAGAAAGCCATCGACTATTTCTCAGTTGTCTTTTTTTATATAAAGCCGCCAGATGAGCTCGTGTTGCAAGTACCTTTTACTTGCCTGTACGGGGGAGGGGCTGCTAAGGAATGTAAAGGATGCAGGAAATACGAAGCATTAACTCTCCCTGTGAAGAGAAAATAAATCAAGTGCGCGGAAACACGTGGAGGACAGTTAAGTGCTAAACTCTTAGCTGAGGAAGTTTCGGCCAGGGAAGATGCCTAGAATGTCCATCTTTTAGTCTGCACATTTCAAACGGCTGTGAAGGTAAAACTCTTGTCTCATCCGAGCCTTGTTTTACCTTTTTCCCTGAGATATTTCACAGCATTCAGCACAGAATGACTGAGAGGAAGTGGGGTGAGGGTTCCTCGGGTGGAGACCAAAGGCTCTGCCCCCTAGGAGCTCTCCTCATGCGGAAGTTGGAAGCGCGGCCTGAGCTGCAGAAAACCTGTTAAGGAATCGCTGAAGCCACCAGCCCTTCATCGCGTACCCATCTGCCTCCACTCCCCAGCCAGGGTGCCTCTTCGGGGTGGGGTGTGGGCCTCAAGAGCTACTCCTGGGGCTCTGGCTTAAGGAACTGAGCCGAGAGGCTGATAAATGGAGCTGGAGGTAGAAGAACAGGGCGGGGAGGCGCCGCGTGCCTTTGGCCTGTGCAGGCGGAGCTGGAGATGCCTTTGGGATGGAGCCTCAGTGTGGGGGACTGTTGCAACTCATGGGCTTAAACTTGAAGGCTCAAAGCAGAGACATTTCTTTCCCCCCTGGGCCACAAGTCTAAACTGAGGTGTCGGCAGGACGGTGCCCTCCTGGGGGCTGAAGGGGAGAGTCTTCTTTGCCACTTCGGCTGGCCGCTGGCCTTTGTGCGCCCCTGACCGCATCCCTGCCATCTCTCCTTTGCTCGCTGGCCGCCCCTTCTCCGGCGCAGTCTTGTGGCACGTGCGCTGGCGCTCTTCTCTTCAGAAGAAAAAGCAAAAGTAAAACACCCACCACCATCTCCCCCCTTCACCCTTGCTCCCCCACGCTTATTTTGCTGTCAGTTCATCTGCTCTGCTTCCCTCTTGTCTGTGAAACCAGCCCATATTGTCTGCATCCTGCTGACTGACCACTCTTCTCAGAAGCTCCTTCAGGTCCATTTTGCTGCAAATGGCAAAATGTCCTCTTCCCTGATGGCTAAACAGCGCTGTCATGTGACCACCCTGCAGCTTCTTGATACAGCCCTCACTCTGTGGGCACTTAAGCCACGTCCCTGTTTCTGCTTTTGTGGGCGGTTTCATCCCTTGGGCACCTACCCCCTCCTGAGGACACCTGTGACTGATGTGGGGGGCTGTTGCAAACACATTGGCATAACCTGGAGAATTGAGGGGCCTCTCTTCTCTCAGAATCCTAAATCTAATCACACATGCTAAGACCCTTTTCCTGGGCCTCCCTGGTGGCCTAGGGGGTGAGGCTCAGGCTATCACCACTACACCTGAGTTCCATTCCCAGCCAGGGAGCTGACACATAGGGTGCAGCAGACCTCTCCTTTCTCCCTGCTGCTCCCCTCAGCAGTGTGTTTCAGTCCATCTGCCTGTTCTGCTCCCCACTCTGTCTCTGGGGAATCCTCACCCCTCGCACCTCTAGCCTACGCCCCAGTTCTATGGAAAGGAGAAAAAGACATCTGGCAAATATACATTAGAAAGCCCATATTTATTTCTTAATTTATTATTGTTTTGTTTACTTTGATTTTAAAAAAAGAAAAGGTAAAGGAAATGGGTTCGCAAATTATGGCCCAAGAGCCCACTGGTTTGTTGTTTTTTTAAAAAATTTATTTACTTATGCTTAGAAGCACTGGGGTGCAGGCCAGAGGTGCGAGGGTGAGAAGTTTCCCCAGAGACAGAGTGGGGAACAGAACAGGCGGATCCACTGAAATCCACTGCTGAAGGGAGCAGCGGGAGAGACAGGAGAGGTCTGCTGCGCCATGTGAGTAGCTCCCAGGCCAGGGATCAAACTCAGGCCTCAGTGGTGATAGTGCTGAGCCTGACCCCTGCGCCTCCAGGGAGCCCCCCCAAGAGCCTGCTGTATTTGTAAACCAAGCTTAATAGTAAGATGCCACCCCTCACTGCCTGTCATGACTCGACTAGGGGAGCCGTGGCGAAGACCAGGCCTGCTGAAAGCTAACGCATCCACTCCTTGGCCCCTTAAGAAGGGAGGCTTGGCCCTGTGGTGGGAGTCCGGGGAGACCTGGGTGGTGCAAGGGCTTCCTCTCCACGTTTGACGGAGGCTGGTATAAGGAGACCCGGAGACTGGG